ACAACCTCATCCGTGTCAGTGTTAAAGTCTCATAAACTTTTCTTGGGGAGAAAGGAAAAGTGCTCAGGCTGTTAGCATGAGTAATGAAATAGTCATTCCTCAATTATTCAAGCTTTTGCAGCAATTTCAAAGATGCTGACACATCTACCCTTAATATTCAAATTTTATGGGACCTTTTGTTATACTCTTCCTATTATGGCAACTGACTGATTCCTTCCCAAAGATTATCTGCATTAACAACTTTATGGTTTTCAGGTATTTTCTTAAATTACATGTGTATTAAGGTTATTGGACCAAGAAAAAGGTTTTGGAGTTTTTTCTTTTAATTTTTTGTACTTGTTTTCATTGTTGTTTTGACTATTGCTCTGTTTTATTTTCGTGTTCATTTGGTGATTCAAGGCACTTATTTGCCAACAGCAAGAATAGAAAGGCAAATATAAAATGATGTAATATCATTGTCTCAAACATAAAATGAAATGATGTAATGTGGTCAACTCTTAGATCATAAGATTTGGAAGGGCACTAGTCCTTGTTTCATAATTCATTTATTATTAAATTTAGACTTGCTTTTAGGTTCATATCTCTTAAACAATTGTATTATATAAATTATTGGTGCAAAACTTTTTAAAAATTTGAATTATTATGACTTTCACATTATTTTCTTTTACTTATTCTTTGAAATTCCATTTTATTGTAGACACCTGTACATTTAGAACTTTGATTTTCTCTTTAAGAGATAAGCACTAAAGTTTAAATCAGAATATAATCCTCAACTGCCTGCTCTATAGCAACTTCTTCTTGAGCTAGAGCCTGAACTAGCCCCCAAACAGTCCTTCCATCTTCACAAAAGTTTCAATGGACTCGAACAAATAATTCAAAAGGAGAATGAAAATTTTATAGATTTTATCATTTGATCTTTTAAGTAGTCAAGATTACACAAATTAAAAGAATAATGTGATAGCATCTTTTATGTGTTCATTTAATCCTCTCTCTAAAATAAAAATAACTTAAATAATATTTATATTAGCAATTATGATATGAACTGCACAATTTTATATCCTATTGATTGGCATTATAAATTGGCACAACTTTTCTCTACAACAATATGATAGTTCCTATCAAAGGTTTTTCTTCACACTCTCCCCAACCCAAAAGTCACATTTTTGAGAAAATATATTAAGGAATTAATAGAGAGTATTGAAAAGGCCACTGGTATACAGATGTTATTTATCTCTCTATAATAAAACATTTTTTGAAAGAAGCCTAATGATTAACAACACAGTGAAAAATAAACATTTCATGACATAATCATTGATCAGTTATTTTTCAACCATAAGTATGAAAACTATAAGAAATATGGAAAAGCCCTAGCTGGTTTGGCTCAATGGATAGAGCATTGGCCTATGGACTGAAGTGATCCAGGTTTGATTCTGGCCTAGGGCACAGGCCTGGGTTGCAGGCTCAATCCCCAGTAGGGAGCGTGCAGGAGGCAGCCAATCAACGATTCTCTCTCATCATTGATGTTTCTATCACTCTCTCCCTCTCCTTTCCTGTCTAAAATCAATAAAATATATTTAAAAAAAGAAATATGGAAAAATATTATGAGAGATTATACCTCTTCAAAAAATACTAAAACATATGCCAGAAATACATAATATAGATTGATATAATATTAAGATGTTTAAGTGAACAGAATTTCTTAGTGTAGGCAAAGTTTCTATAATATTTATATTGCTATTTAAACTTTTAAACTTTAAATTAGCAATTTAGAAGAAAACAAGTCTCTATCTCAACACAACCTGAATTTTGTTCTTTTTATCAAGTTTTTGATTTTATATTCCTACAACTTTCAAAAGATTTCTAGAAACTTTTTTTTTAATCCAAGGAGTGTGTGTGACATGCCTTAAACAAGAACAATCATTTAAAAAATATTTTATATTATGACCTCATCTCCAAAGTTTATAAAGCCTTCATGACTATTAAAGTTTCATATATATACATCTATGGAAATTTTCTCACTTCTGATTTCCTATGCACATTGAAAACCAGATTAAGAAAAGTGCTATAAAAACAAATGAAACTTGATTTTAAAAAAACATTAGTACAATGTCACCCCAATAAAATTCAATTAAAAACCACA